AAATGGCAGCATCAATGGGCTCAAGCGTGATAACAATTGTGAGGTTGGCCCAGGACAGGGCAATGTTTCATTCTGTTGTGTGTAGGGTTGCTATAAGTCGGTACCAACTTGATAGCACCTAACAACAACACATAGCCAAATGTCTTTTTACAATCAATAAAACACAAACAAACATCTTTCTAATATTCTCTGTTTTCAGCCCAGATCCATCTGACATCAACAATGATATTCTTTGCTACATGTCTGTTCCTGAATCTGGCTTGAATTGTTCACAGTTCCCTATCAATATACTGTTGCCACTGTTTTTAAATTCTCTTCAGTAGTTTTACTTGCTTGTGATATTAATGAGATTACTAAATGATTTCTACATTCTGTTGGGTTACTTTTGGAATGGCACAAATAATCTCTTCCAGTTGGTTGGCCAAGTAGATGTCTTTCGAATTTCTTGGCATAGATGAGTGAGCACATCCAGAGTTGAATGCATTTAGTTTCTGGAGCTGTGTTTTTGGTCAATGCCTTTAGTGCAGTTTAGAATTCTTCCTTCAGTGCCATCAGTTCTTGACCAAGTGCTACTTCTTGAAATGATTGAATCTTGACCAAATTCTTCTTGGTACAATGACTCTGTGTATTCCTTCCATTTTCTTTTGATGTTTCTTGTGTCTTTAAATGCAGGGGTCTGGCCTCGACAAGGGGGTGAGTACACGAAGGGGGAGTGTCTGGCGACGATAGAAAGAGAGAGAGAGAAAAAACAGACACAAAGAAGACAGAGAAAACGGACACAAAGAAGACAGACACACAGATTTGATGCAAGCTGCCAGACAGACTGCTCGGTGGCAGACATTGCACACAGAACTAACTCTAGGTGGGATGTCTGGAGAGACGAGAGAGAAAAGAAACACTCAAGAGACCAGAGTGGATGCAAAACTGGCAGACAGACCCTCCATGGCCCTGCAAGCAGTAATGCATGCGGGTTTCAGTCTGCGTCCATCTTTTATTTCAGGGAGGGACTTTACACAAAGGAAGAAGGAGATTATTAAGACAGGGTACAGAAATGAAATGTGATTAATCGTTCAAAACAGGACACAATGATTTACAGGAACAAATTCTAAAACATACATCACAAATTGTCTTGATAATCTAACATCCTTAATTTTCCAGAAATTCAAGCAAATCGTTATAAATTACTTCTTAGGTTCAAACACAAGGCAGCAGCTCAAGGTTTCTCAAGGCTAATTAACATACCTATAGCACCTAATCTTCAATGGGTAAAGGTGAAAAGGATTTCAAAAGGTCTGAAGAAAGTCAAGCTGTTTCAGATACCTGGCTTTCAGGAGGAAGGAGAACATATAGGTCAAACTGATTACACCTGGGGCGGTTTGAAGGGGCTGCCGCCATTGTCTCTTAATCCAATATTCCCAGAATTTACTACTCCACCTCAAGTGAATAACCCGGGCAGTTCCTCTCCAGAACCCCCCTGCTTAATCCCAGTAAACCTGTCCTTGTTCGTCCTCTGAGGAAGTTTTGCTGCCTCGGTTCTAAGGGGCAATTTGATTTTATTAATGTACATGGATAATCAAGAGCTCATGTTCTAAGTTAATATTAAACATAACTGAATAATCAAATAAGGAGCAGTTCTGACACTCATCCCAGGTGGCTATCGCTTGTACCTCAGAAAGATTCGTTCCCAGGACCCTACGCACTGCCAACACAGTGGAGACATTAAGAGAGGCATTATAAAAACCATTTTCTCAGAAGTTACAATTACTGGAGTTAGAAGCATAGAATGAACAATGTTAGGACTTGTACAGAGGTAGCCCAACAATGAGTTCACAAACACCAATGAACCAGGGACCCCAGGAGGTCACTTCCTGGGCCCGCAGGGTTCATGGCTCGCCATACCGAGGAGGGCCCAGGGTTTGGATTTTCGTCCAGGTCACAAGGCCTCAGCTTCCCAGTAATTGCGTTTTATGTCGTCCCCGACATTTAAATATTTGTCTATAGAATCCTTAAATCTTACAACTTGAGGATTGAGGTTTTTTTCTTCAGTTTTTCAGTCTGAGAAATGCCAAGCATGTTCTTCTCCTTTGGTGTTCTAACTCTAGGTCTTTGTTCATTTCATTATAATACTTTACCTTGTTTTCTCAAGCCACCCTTTAAAATTTTTTCTATTCAGCTTTTTTCCAAAAAATGTCTTCCATTCGCTTTAGCTACTCTAGGTTTAAGAGCAAGTTTCAGAGTTTTTTTCTGACATCTATTTTGGTCTTTCTTTGGGTCTGTTTAATGATCTTTTTGCTTTCTTCATGTACGATGACCTTGATGTCATCTCACAAGTTGCCTGGTTTCCAGTGATTAGTGATCAATGAATCAAATCTGTTAATGAAATAGTCTCTGAATTCAGGTGGGATATACTCAAAGTTGTACTATGGCTTTTGTGGACTTGTTTTAATTGTCTACAGGTTCAGCTTAAACTTGCATTTCAGTAATTGATGGTGTGTTCTACCATCAGCCCCTGGTCTTCTCCTGACTGATGATATTGACCAAAAACCATATTTGCAGAGTTTTTACAGAGCAAGGAATTTCATTGCTATGATGCCTATTTCTAACGTGACACCTAAGGCCATCTCTCAGAATGTGGACCACAGTGAGGGTTTACCTTCTGTATCAAGTGTGCAAACTAAGGAGAACTTTACTAGAATAGCCACACCCGTTAATTTACATATCATCTATATAGGGTCACTATGAGTTGAAATTGGGAGTCTTGGTGTGGCGCTGTGTTAATGCGCCAGACTGCAAAGGCGTTTGAACTGCAAGGTCAGCAGTTCAAGCTCACCAGCTGCTCCTCGGAAACCCTATACAGGGACACTATGGGTCGGAACCGACTCCACAGCACTTAACAACAACGACATGAGTTGAATTCACTCAGTGGCAGTGAGTTTGTGGTGTGTATGTGGGGGAGAGTGGGGGCGTTCGTAGCTTTCGAATTGAGACAGCAAGTTGAGCATTTGAGAAAGTGGCTCTGTGGCCCACAGAGCCGAAAACATTGACAATATCTGGCCCTATACAGAAAAAGTTTGTGACCTGTCATTTAAATCAAAACAAGGCTGTGAGAAAGCTGTATCAGCTCTTTGAAAGCAATATATTGCTATTCTGTTTCATTAAGCTCCCTCCCAACCACAAAACTGCAACTCTGTTTTAGGGGAGTGATTCGAGAAAGGACGCTTAGTGCATTGTCCCGTGGGAACACAGCGGCCTTACCATATCCTGGACCCTTTTGGTTTCTTGCTCTCTTTCCTCAAGAAGCAATCCTCTCTCTCTCTGGGTCCGGAGGCCTTCAGTGGAGAGCACTGCCAGGTCTGGAGTCCACAGCCTGAAGCCCTCCCTGGGGCAGTTGGCTCTCACCCCGCAGAGTTCACTCTGGGCGTGGTCCTCTTCAGTCCTTAGGGAGTTCCCAGGCAAACAGGTGTGGGCTGGCGGGTCCTTGGCGGATACCTCCTCCACACACAGCCTCGGAGTCCACGCATCATGCCTTACCTTCACCGCTCCGCAGCCCCCGGGGCGCCCCCCTCCCGCGGGGATGCCCGCAGCACTCACTCCTCAGGCCAGAGCTTTGAGCAGCTGCGGCAGGCGTGTGTGAGCAGGGGTATCCTGTTCGAGGACGCTGACTTCCCCGCCAGCAGCGCTTCCCTCTTCTACAAGGAGCGGCCCCCGGTCCCCTTCGTCTGGAAACGACCAGGGGTGAGCGCGGAGAGGTGGACTGGGGAGCAGCTCTGGGGAGGGGAGCTGGAGAAGAGGGAGGAGGCGTGCACAAACTCGACCTGAGCACGTCTGCAAGGCTACTTCGACTGCAGGAAACGCTGCGAGGTGCATAGCAGAAGGACGGTGCGTTGGGTGGGATACTCCGGGGGAACGTCTAACTGGTCCCCATCTCGGCTCCAGATTCCACCAAGCCTGGGGCCCTGAGTTAGGGGATCTTGACAGTAGGTGGAGGGTAGAGCCAATCCTGTGCCCGCCTGACTTCCTGCTAATTCGAAGTGGTGTGCTGTTGAGTCAGTTCCAATTTATAGTGAGCCTGTGTAAGGAGTCCTGGTGTGGCGCTGTAGGATAAAGCACTGGACCCAAGGAATTCGAGGGCAAACAAATGCAGAGATGGGTTGGGGGGCAGCTTGGGACAATGCTGGGGTAAGGTAAGTGAAGTGTCCGCAACGTCTGGTCATGAGCCAATGGGTACTGCCCTCCATCTTCCCTGCTCCTCCCCAGGTCTGTGTAAGAGCTGGGTAAGTGTGGAATGGAGAAGGAGCAAGATAAGGGGGGTGGGGGGTGGGGGGGTGTCTCTCCCCTTTCCTGAGGTAGTACAATCATTGCTGTCCCCACCCCCAGTAGTGAGAGGTTCTGGGTCCCTAGAAGCACCAGCTGGTGACTGGGACAAGATGTCAATATTTGCCATGCTGGACTCATCGGACCCTCCCTGTGAGCCACCCTGGCTGGCTTTGGGTGGTACCGGCTTAGGAGGGGCTCCCTTGGAGACAGGTGATTCATAGCAAAGAAAGCCAGTCAGAGTGAGAGGGTGGATGGTAGGCAAGACTCTTTGAGTGTTGGCCCCACGCTCCCTAATCTGTTACATGATTATTTTATGGTCACATTATCTAACTATCTGAACCTCAGTCTCCTTCCCTGGGAAATGGGAACAAAAATGATCAATAGGCGGATACTATGGGGTTTTAGATGACTATGGTAGAGCCAGTAAGTGAAATTGTCATTACTGTTATTGTCATTATCATCATCGATGTTATTAACTCTTGGTTCCATCTCACTTATGAGTGCCACACAGGACTCACCCTCTCAAACTCCTTTTTGTCATCAGTGATTTAAATGAGAAACATATACTTATGAACAAAGACCCAAACTTTTGGGCTTTGCATGGTGGGCTCAGGTAAACATAAGCTTACTTTAAGTAGTGAAAAGTTCTTTCCTACTGCAGTGTGTATGTGGGGGGAGCATACATACGTGGTGTGTATACGAGTGTGTGAGTGTATGTCTGCTACTTTGTGTGTTTGTGTGTGTGAGTGCGTGTTATATGTGGAGTGTGTATTTATATGTGGTGCATATGTGAGTGTGTGTTTGTGTGTGTTGTGCATATGTGAGCATACATGCGTGAATATGTTTATGAATGTGTGGCGCTGTAGGATCAACACCTTGTGTTGTGGACTGCTAACCACAAGGTTGCTGATTGAAATCCACCATTCCTTGGAAACCCTATACAGCTTCACTATAGGTCAGAACTGATTTGATGGCACTTAACAACAACAACACTGTGGCTTAATGCGCTGGACTGCAAAGTTGATTTGAACCACAAGGTTGTGGTTCAAGCTCACCAGGGGCTCCTTAGAAACCCTCTATGGGGTCGCTACGGGTCAGAATCAACTCAACAGCACTTAAAAACAACAACAACATAGTGTATATGGAGATTATGGTGGTTCTAGAGCAGGGGTGGTCTGGTCCTGCCAAGGCAACCGCAGTTCCAGCCATCACATTGTTGTTGTTGTTAAGTGCCGTAGAGTTGATTTCTACTTATAGTGACCCAGTATATAGTTTCCAAGGAGCAGCTGGTGTGTTTGAACCAGCAACCTTGTAGTTCAAACCGTCCTGCGCTTATCCTATAGTGCCACACCAGGACTCATCTCATTGTTGTTGTGAAGTGCAATCGAGTCAGTACTGACCCATAGCGACCCTGTATAGGGTTTCCAAGGAGCAGCTAGTGAGCTTGAACCACCAATCTTGCCATTCAAACAGCTTTGTAGTTTGGCGCATTAACCCACAGCACCACACCAGGACTCATCTCATTAGGAGTGAGTTAATTAAATGTTTGACCAAATATAGCAGGCTAATTTTTAAATTGAAAATTTTGTATGGCCCACGAATGATGTTATAAATCTTGGCAGAAAAAAAGTTTCCCCATATCTGTTTAAAGGGTAACCACTGGACTGAGAACAAACAACAAGGTTGTCAGTTTGAGCCTACCAGCCACTCCAACAGAGAAAAATGAGACTTTCTGCTCCTGCAAAGATTTACAGCCTCAGAAAGCCTGTACATCAGAACTGACTCGATGACACTTAACAGCAACAACAGTGGTGTGTATGAAGGAGACTTAATGGCATAGTGGGTTATGTGATGGGCTGCTAACCTCAAAGTTAGCAGTTCAAATCTATCAGCTCCTCTGTGGAGAAAGATGACGCTTTCTGCTACCGTAAAGATTTATAGCCTTGGAAACCCTATATTGTCATTGTTAAGTGCTGTTGAGTTAGTTCTGACTCATAGCAACCCTGTATGAGGTTTCCAAGGAGCAGCTGGTGAGTTTAAACCAATGATCTTGTGGTTCACACCCACCTTGTGGTCCAGTGCTTTATCCCACAGTGCCATTCCAGGACTTCTTATACAGAGTCTCTATGAGTTGGAACCGACTCGACCACCATGGTGTATATGTGGGCCTATCTGTGTATATGTCAGTGTGTGTGTGTGTACAAATGAAAGGCCAGGACTCACTCAGCCACCTGAGAAGAACTCAACCGACAGCTTGGCTGTCCTCAAGGGAAAAGCACACTCATTCCTCAGAGCTGAGGGCCTGCAGTCTTACTTCCTATCTCAGAATTACCCACTTTCCTTTCCCTCCACCTCCACTGCCATCTTTGTTTCCCTCTCCGACTTCTCCCCTACACCCTGTCCACCTGCTCCATGAAGTGCTCACGTCTCTCTAGTTCTCACAGCATTGTGGTCCACACATACCTGACGACACCACCTGTCCCTGCCCTGCTTCCTGAGTGTGACTGGGGCAGGACCTGGCATCCACACCTAACAACCAAAGCTCTGTTCTCCAGCAAGGATCAGAGCCAATGTGTAGGAACTCCATTCCTTTAAAAAAAAAAAAAAAAGAAGAAGAAGAAGAAATGGGAGGGGGAGGGGAGGAGGAGGAGGAGAAAACCTGCATGTCTGGGGAAACTGCTTTCAGGGTTTTCAGTGGCTGATTTTCTGTAGATTCCTAGTTCTTTCTTCCTCTGGGTGGACTCGAACTCCAACCTTTTGTTCAGCAGGTGAGCATGTTAACCTTGTGCACCACAGGAATGCTTTGTCTGAGGCCATGATGACTTAACAGTAAACAGAACAAGCCCTGAAAGCAAATGTTCCAGGATGCCAGCCCTTTGTGTTCCATGTAAACAACTTCAGGGTGCTCAGGGAGCGGTCTGGGTTCATGTGGTATTTACTAAGACCCTGAAATTTCAGGTACCCCTTTTCCCTTAAGTACTACCCCCAATTTCACATGAACAAATGCACATATGGGTCCCAACCATTCATAGAGTGCACTTAAGTACAGACAGAATGCACTCAAGTGCACACACATGATGCATGGAGCATACACAGAGGCACATGTATGCCACATACTAGGCATGCCACATGCTCTTAGTACACACTGTGATGTGCCACACAGGTGTTAACCATGTGCTCCAGCACAGATGAAACAACCCCTGAGTAACAGACATGAGCAATACACAAACAACCCCTGAATTGCACACATGAACAATACATGAACAACACCTGACTAGCACACATAAATAACCCCTGAATAGCACAATGTATACAGAGGGGTAAGTCACGTGTACAAATTCTTCACCATTCTATATTTGATGACTAATTTGCTTTCTTTTTATAAGAATTTCTGGATTCTCTCCTTCTATATTTTTCTCCTAGCTTGATGAGATTTAATAAATTTCTCCTGAGTTAAAATGACCAAGAGCAGTCAGGAGCTGGGAGAGGTGAGAGCTGCAAGTACTACTGGTCAGCAAAGGCTGGGGGACAGGCGTGCAGGGAAGCTGGGAAGAAGCAGGGTCTCCACATTCAGAAGCTGTCTGACTCTCAGGGCATCCAGAGGTCTGAGGCAGCCTGCAGGGCAGAGATCTGCTGTCTCGCAGAGTCTGTGTGAAGTCCACAATAGGAATTTATCTCAGTGACTGTGCTTAATGCTTGTTAGACCTACAGAGCAACTGCCCTGATGAGGGTCGTGGGAGCTCCTCTTTGGAGCAAGTGCTTCAATGACATTCCACCACAAACCTGGAATGTCCAAGCTGCAGAAGAGCAGATAAGGACACAGCCCCTAAGAAGTTCAGTGAAGAGCCATAGCCCCTCTGCTAACTGGGCAGGATCTTTACTGGAGCCTCCTTTCTCAAGAGGCTTGACCCAGGATCAGGCAGTGTTTTGTTCTGTTGTGCATAAGGTCACTATGAGTCGGTACCGACTTAACCGCACCTAACAACAACAGCACAAGGAAGACCAGTTAATACTACTATTATTCAAATTTATGCACCAAACACTAAAGTAGTGATGATGATGATGTTGATGAAGAATTCTACCAGCTTCTTCCATCTGAAATTAATCAAACAGGCAATCAAGATGTTTTGATAATTACTGGTGACTGGAATGCAAAGGTTGGAAATGAAGGCTCAGTCATTGGAAAATATGGCCTTGGTGACAGAAATAATGCTGGAGACCGCACAATATAAATTTGCAAGACCATTGATTTCTTCATTGCAAATACCTTTTTAAAACAACTTATAAAAATGGACCTCACAGAACAAACAAGGTGGCTGATCAAGAAGTACCATGGACATGGACTGCCAGAAGAACAAATAGGTCTGTATTTGGAAGACGTGTAGCCAGAATACTCCTTAGAAACCAACATGGTGAGA